CTCAACTCCCGATGAAATACTTCGTAGAAACGAATTTCCATGTCAATGTGTTATTCTAGAATCTAGAATATTCTTGATCTACGCGTATTCATAAACATTGCATATGTCTCGACCACCAGTATCAAGTTGTTGCAAGTTTGAGAATAGGAAAATCAAGTTAAATCTCGCTGATACCTCACGAGCCTACTATATTAAACCATGACATTGTCGATTCCATTTTTATCGGGTTGATTTCGTCCTCATGAAAAGAAAAATTCAGTTCTTTAAATTTATGGAATATGCCTGTCAAATAAGCTATGTCATTTTTTCCATTATGATATATTTCTTGTGACTAGGATCGCAAGTCTGCAGGAATTTAGCAACAGAAACAAAAAGGCGTAAAATCAGTCAGTCAGTAGTTTTTTTTTTTTTTAATCATTTTTTTTTTATTTTATTTAAAAGGTGAAATAAAAAACACTTCGCAAAATAGCATTTCGTGCTGAACAATGGAAAATCTGTCACTAAAATGTTGTGAAAAAAAAGTTTATTTTTCAACAAATAAAAAATGCACTTGGTACGAGCAATGGATGGGAGAAAACGTAAAACTGGTATTCCAAGGTAAAGAAAGGGAGGCGCGAAAAACCAATGCTTTGTATCGAGCAGCGACACTCGTCGTGCTGGTGTAAGGTAGTTCCCCTTCGAAAGCCACCTTACTTAGGTGTGGAGTAGTAAGCCCTCTCATGCTTCATCATTTTCATTGCAGTAAGCTATTGTTTAGCGCACGGACCTATATTTTATTCACTGCCGTTGTCATTGTTTCTCAACCTTTAAACTACATTAAAAATGGGGATAAAAGCTTTTGCCAATTGTTTTATTTTACAGAAATAAAGATATTTATGATATGACTCGGCGCCATATCGAGGTTGTCCGGAACGGATGATGATCATCATAAATGATGATCATTTATGTACATTTACTGTCAATCTTCAATTTTTCCGTAAAACTGAGTTTATATATTTCATTAGTACGATAGATTATGAATAAGGGTCACGCAAATATTCAGCCTAAAATTCCTTGATAAAAACATCAAAGTGCGCGACATATGTGGAGATATGAGTCTTCAATGAAACGTACTACTAAGAACATCGTCGGATCCACCAAAGCTTATATCTGCGAGGAGTTATACAAACAGCTAAGCTAATTTATTGGTTAATATTTAAGTTTGAATATATATCTCCGATGAACTACAGTTATTTTTGCATAATCAGTAGACGAGATAATAGAAAAGTTCCACAATATAAAACTGTTTCAGGGGACCTCCGTCGAACCCCTGAAACATTTCCATCGAACCCCAGGTGTTCCATCGAATCAGGTTAAGAAACACAGCTGTAGAGCAATGATTCCTTACCTTTTGCGAGCTTTCCGAACCCTTACGTAACTCTGCGTGCTTGCGTCGAACCCCAACGCTTTGAACAGTTAAAGCCAGGTGCGCAACCAGACTATTATAACAGATAAGCTAATTTTGTGCAAGGTTATAGAAATCCCAACCTCATCTGACAGAGTATGAATTTGTTGCGTATATAAGTATAAGTTTATTTCGACTCCATAATCAGCATAACAATAAAATGATTGGTAAAAAAAATAAATAAAAACTGATTATGAAATCAGGAGAGCAAACAAAACCTTAGATAAGGTTTAAAACGTACAGAAGTATACAAGATGGAAGGTTTTGCCAAGAAGAAGTGGTACGTGTTCACTCACCTAAAATAATGGAAATATTTCACACACGCTCACACACACAACCATACAGAAATTATAAATTACCTTCGGATAGGTAAAAAAAAATAAAAAATTACTTGCCACACCATATAAATAAATTTATAACGTTTGCCACTGCCGAATTTATAGATTTTATAAATGGGAGTGAACAGTAGAGTTAAACTTTTATGAAAAATATATTGCCAAGCTGATTATAGTTGGAGTCAATTGCCAAAAATGCCCAACCAAAGTTGCCAGAATTGGGTGCATGAAGAGATGGGCTATACCACTTCATTCCCCAAACTAGAGCCTATTATTGCCAAATTATAGTCCAGATTGTGATAAGTATTTAAAGGTACAAGTAACAGTATAAGTAATTATAATTAAATAATGTAGGACAACGAGGAATAGGAATATGTTGGTTACCAAGGTTATAAGTAAGGTTTTTTTTCAATCTTAGATATTGATTACTGCAAGGACAAAAGAATTAGGATTGTTATTTCACAGGATCATTTCTTCATTTACTTAATGTAACGCAATTGTTGTCAATTCAAATTTATCGTAGTTATATGATAGGTTTTCAAGGCTATATCTAGCGGACATGCAATATTAGAGAGGTATCAATCAACAAGCTGCCTGAATGTGCCTTGTTATAACATAAATTGCAACAGAAAAACAAACAACTATACTCATAGTTATTGGAACAGGTCTCCTTCTTGGTTAGGGATGGCGGAATCGACTCCAGAATCAATTCTTCGTGGATTCGACTAGAATCGATTCCGATGAATTGGATTCGATTCTTAGAATTAAAACTTGGATAGCAAATAAAGTATATATATATATATATATATATATATATAACGTTTTGTGACACATATATGTATAAACCGATATGTGGAGTGCTTTACTGCAGGGATGTGCAACCTTTTTCGCAGGCGGGCCAAATATCAATAACCGGGTTAAACCGCGGGCCGCACCTACATTTCACACAGGCTTTCTATCAGTTGCAGGCACAAAATGGTGTCTTTTTGTTATTGATCTCATGGTCCTTACAGAAATGATTAGTTAAAACGCATTAAGTTCGTAGAACTGTAATTTAAATATATATATTGTTGCACCCAATTTAAACGAATTGCTGCTGGATTCTTTTCCCGACTACTTTTATCCAAATTTGCTTAAATGGAAGTGCTAGCAATTCGATGCGACGCCCATTATAGAACAAAAATATATTACCGAAAATTGCCATATTTGAAGCCATGACTTTTTCAAATGTGGGAAGTAACTTGATTGAGAAGTTTTCAGTAAAATGCGCCAAGTTTCATTTCCAAATAATTTGCTGTCAAATCTTATTCTAGGTTCGATTTAGACAACATCAACTGATAGGCTGGAATCAAAACTCATTTAGCTATTTTATCTTTTAATATCAAAATTTTTCAAACTGCTATCTAGTTGCCTCCGCGGGCCGCACAATTTTCCCTTGCGGGCCGCATTTGACCCGCGGGCCTCACTCTGCACACCCCTGCTTTACTGTATTTCTATTTAGATTTTTGTTTGATACGCCAGTGATTTTTGGACTCAAATTGGACAATGGCCTACAGATTGTTTTGTTACTATGTTGTTAGAACTCATTTTCTTGTTATTGTTATGAAAAATATCTTTTCTCACGTATACTGGAACTATTGTTCTGAAATATTCAGTGGTAAAAAATTGTATTTTTTTTTCTCAAGAAGGCTATTACATTCATTTTATGTACTTTAAAAATTTCTGTCGGCTCTAATGGATAGATACGTTTTTTGTGTTATTTCAAAGCCATAAGCAGGAAGCATCTAAAAGCGCTATCATAGATTATGTACACACACCCAGGCGCACGACATCTGTGACGATATGAGCTTTCAATAGAATGTACTAGAATCTAAGGTGTAGAACACCGACATGTCCACTAAACTTATATCTGCGCGAAGCTCTACACACAGCTAAGCTAATTTATTAGTTGTTAATTAACGTTCATGTTTGAATATCTGTGATGAACTATCACTTTGAAAAAATATTTACCGGTAATCGCCTGGCATTACATATTACTGGAATGTAGTTGTGAAATTTTATTGCGATTTTAGGGTAAAGATCACAAGAATTTTCGGTAAAATTGCTGTTGATCATCTGTGAATTTTACGAGATACTCCTAGTAATCCTTACAAGATTTTTTTCCGGTAATTTTCAATCCGTAGTAGTATTTACCGACGCTAGCCTGTGAATTTACATTCAGAACCCGGTAAAAATTACCGTAAATATCCTGGCATTACATTTTACAGGACATGATCAGTAAAAATCACATACTATTCTATGTAATGAGGTTTATTTATAAAATAAATGTGAACGTGAGATGAATGATAAAACTTGGAAAATGAGATGGGAAATTGGATAGTAAAAAGTTAGAAACGCTAAGTAGACAGAAACTTTTCGTTGCAAACGTTTTGGCTCGCAGGGTGTCCGTCGAATCCCTGGAACAGCTCCCCAAACCCCAGGGGTTCGATCGAACCCAGGTTATGAACCACTGGTCTACTGTGACAGATTGAATACCCATAATGCTTAGTTTTGGTTTTCGTGTCGATATATTTGAACATCGCTCTCTTGTTTGATTTCATATGGTATTGTATACCTGAGTATGCTTTCTCGGTAAGCTATGTCGAGAAATCGGATGAAAATCGAATACTTATAAGAAATCATACTTTGCATCCTTATTCTTGGTTGACATAGTTCAAGATTTCATATTCATTCGTGTACACTTACTTCCGATTCTCAACTTGTGCCTAAAGCTGAGCTACATTTTACGAGTAGACCATGGATATGATTATGAACATAGACGCGAATATCCAGCTGCCCCTAAATCCCGAGGTTTGTCACAAAAATCTAAGATATTCCCTCATTCTAAAACTCTATCATGCAGAAGTACACCCAGGCGTGCGACACCAGTGGCGATACCAATTTATCGAGGAGTCTGAGATATAGCCGTCGTAGTGTAAATTTACCAGAGGACCTTCGTTGAATACCTGGAACAGCTCCATCGATTCCCAGGGGTGAACCCAGATCAAGAAACACTGTAATGTAGAGCCTCATGATAAGCGATGAGAGTCGCATATATTCTACGATAGGGATTCCTTGGGTAAAAATGATACAATACTGGTAATGGTCCTAATAGATACTTGGAAACTATTGACCTGTACAGATGAAACAAGCTCTCCAGTATGATATCAATAAGATCACTCTGAATGCAGCAGACAATATGTCTTTGATTATATTTCTCACCAGTGCCGAATCAACGATTTGTTGTTCCAAAATATCAACACCATGCTATTTAAGGAACATATCATACAATGATATTAACAGTAAAAAAGCTTTAAAGCATATGCTATGGTTGTAATTTATCAGGTCACAACAAGGAGGCATAAAGTAACTTAATATAGGAAATTTTTACAATGTCGGTCGCTATAAACAAGTGACAAGCCACCAATAGGAGTGCAAAGTGATTAGTTTTTATTATAGTCCCATGACCAGTATCATTACATCACACTGAACAAACATAGTTAGAAACTAAGAATTCAGAAATGATTGTTGTTACATATATTCGGTGAACTTTTTTGTTCACCCTATTTCTGTAATAAATTCAGAATCTATAGTTAATAGTAACAGCAAATCATTATTCAATGAAGTATAAAATATGAATTGATATTTGCACTTTTGAAAATTTAGTAATTATGTAACTATTCTATACATATTTGTAGTTCTCAACATTTTTACAATGCATCATGACAATTAAGTGTATATTTCTGAATGAAACAGATATAATGAACTTTGTAACATATAGCTTCACTGATATCCTGGGCCTGGTTGCCTTGCTCTGTAACCACCCGGACTTCTTACCAAGCGATGAGGATTTGTAGGGGTCTGTCCATATCCAGGTTGCGCCATGCCAGGTCCACCAGGTGGTGGATACTGCTGTACAGATGGAGGTGGCGTAGAAGTAGCATTGTATTGCTGAGGCTGACCTTGAGGTTGTCCTGCGGCGTATGGCTGTCCAGTCGAAATACCAGATGATGTATTGTATGACTGATTATTTGATATAGCTTGAGGTTGGGAGGGTGGTGTTGGATACTGACTCTGGCTGGTGCTAGTGGTCGTATATCCATATCCCCCATAATTACCAGTCTGCATCCCCACTGCTGGCAATCTTTGCCCGCTGCTTGCGGGCATTTGCGGCGCATAAATCTGTTGCTTGGTTTGTTGTCCGTAGGAAGATGGCATTTGTTGTCCAGTGCCTGGTTGATTTTGCGGCGGATTGTATCCCCCATATTGATTGGCATTGTATTGTGCTTGAGAAGTTTGGGCTGGTGCTTGCGGTTGCTGCGACACTGGGTAAGGTTGGGGTGCCTTAGTTGGAGCACTCGACTGTGTTGCTTGACCTTGGTAATTGCTTGGCGCAGATTGAGTGGCTTGACCATATGAATCCCTTGCAGGTGACGGCTGAGGACCACCAAGTGCAGCATCACCAAATGATGACTGTAAGTTAGAATGATGAAGAGAGTTTTGCGAAACATCATTTTGCACTGGAGCAAAAGATTGCATTGTATTCGGCTGGTTCGTAGTAGATGATGATCTAATATCTGAACCAGGATCCATAGAAGTTTTGCTTGCAGCACTACCAGCAGGGCTGACTACTTGGTCTCTATTACCACCAAGATAAGATTGCGATGAAGATTGACTCGGGCTTTTCTTTATGGAATCCGTCAAGGGATCAAACATAGATCCATTATACTTCTCTGAAGCTCCCTCACCACTATCATGCAAATGCGATGTTGTCATAGGTGCTGTTTCCTGCATTTTTGAAGCTTCACTGAGCTGTTGTGACTGTGATACATCATTTGTTTCTGGTTTTGAATTGTCAGGATTCTCCTTGGAGTTGAATTCCAGAGAATCTAATATATTATTAACCCGGTTACGAATACCCACGAGTTCATCTCGAATATTTTTCAGTTGTGCGGCATTTATGCCCTCATGACTCACACCATCTTTGCAAAAAATGACCAGCTTCAGAACACGACTGAGCTGAATTGCTAGTGTTATATCTGAATCATCAAAAATTGTAATAAGATCACCATCGTCATCTGCATATTTCACTGTTATCTCATCTGTTGACCTGAGGGTGTTACGAAAAACTCTCTGCATCATAAGAATAAGTTCATTATATGTGAGATCCTCATTGTGAATAGGGATTCGACGAACATCATCACCAAGACGAGCCTTGATTATAAGTTTTCCAGTGAGATCCATTGAACATTAATACTATATACACAAGACAAGATAAATCTGGAAATTTCATGAAACTTGGGTAAACTTTCATTTCAAACAATTAGTATGTTTAGAAGCTATTAATTACTGACATACATATAGATTTACATTTACAGTCTTGCAAAAACGAAACGAAAAATCTTTCCTATTGCTCAAAGTTTACTAATTAGTTAGAGGCAGGAAAATTTTGTGTACAGATTAAGAATGAGTAATCATTAGGATTCCAGAAACTTTTTAAATTACGGAATTATGTCGCCAATCATTTTGCTGTTTTCATTGAATAAGAGTTCTAATGCGCAACCTGTTAATCAATCAGTACATTCATTTTGCAACCAGTTAACCATGCTCTGCCCTGGATCAAATCATGTGTAATTTTCCTATTGTACCTGGTAACCTAATCTGTTACACATACTACGTGCCGGTGTCCGCCATCTTGGTTCACATACTACAGCAGTACCGGCACTCCGTGGATCACCATATGATTAAGCCATCTTATTTTCCTCCCCCCTGTGATGGATACTGAGATTTGGAAAATCTTATCCTGTTCTAATGCAGTAATGTTCTAAACACTGAAACCGTGGAAAATATCACCTGTAGAAGGACAGAAAATTTTTCTTTCTCATACCTGCATCCAGTCATCCATGAATGACCGAAAATTTTTAGAAATCCTGAATTACTCCTATAGCTGTATAGATTGGCCTATTTGATTAGTACTGGCTGACCAGTACCGGTACCGTACCGATGTGAAATATGGATCTCCTTGCTGCCTTGATGAGAAATGCAAAGAATTCGAGAAAAACAGTCATCAAAGATAATATGCAAATCCTATCTTATAGTCTAGTTTACCGTAATTAGGCTATCCCCAATGGGATTTGAAACTGCAAAACCATGCATGGTACGGTAATCAGAGGTGCGATGGCAAGTCTGGGTACCTATTCCTAACGCTGTGTAGCTTAGCACAATGAAGCGATGCGCCACACAATAATGTTGTACAGTAATGCACTATGCAGTAGGTCTACGTCTACCGGTACCGCTGTATGTTGCTGATATTCCTTTATTTAAAAAAAAAAATAGTTGAATTTTTCCTACCGCTACCACTCTGACATCCCAGCAATAGCCTCCAATAGATAGTTCATTCGGCACCATTACCTCTGTACAGCTGTACGGTACCATACCTGCTTGTGGCCTAAGGTCTCGATGCTCAGAAAAGCATACAAGTGCAAAAGTGTGGGTATTTTTTTCGACACATCACAATCTGATGACGTAAACGTGGCCGGCAGGTCGGTCTCGTTCGTGGGAAATCTTCTTGAGTAAATTTTTGTGTTATTATTCTAGGTGAATTTATGTGTGCATGAAATTGTACTCGTGTCCGGATCCGAATCTCGGTCTTATAGTCCTTACGAGACCACTTTTGGTAAAAATGAGGACATTTGCAGTATAAGGTAATATTTCAATAATCACAAAGTTTATGAATGGCCATGTCCTGAGTAAATCAGTGATAACCTCAAAATTAGGACTTTCCGGTCTCCGTGAGTTATTTAGAAAATGTTTTCGTACTTGAAACGCACTGCTTTTTCTGATTGAGGTGTCACATATTCAGATATAGTTCGTGATTAAATATGACAGCAACATTTTAGCACTACTTGACTTAAAAAATTTCAAGAATCGTATGTGGCATACCTTACGAATATATAGATAAATAATCAGACCAAAGCCATTATATAATGGCTCTGTTCAGACATAGAGTTGTGTGCTCATTTTTTTGTAAAATAAACATGGTCGAAAGCATAACTGCACGAACAAACCAGAAAAGTTAATAATTTGAAGTTATGATTTGGGCCCTAAATCCGATGAACTGGTACAAAGTTTTTGCCCAATAAAAATCCTAATCGATACAACTTCGTACTAAAAATCAAATTGCAATACTGAGATGACGAAAGTATATAAAATCTAACTTTCGTTTAGTTATCAATAATTATTACGTCTCTACTCGACACGATGGACATTATCTTCTCATTCTCCCGACTCTCTCGATTCCATTCATATTTTCTATTTAAACATTTCTCTTTTGACTTACTCTCTCGATTCGATTTACGTTTCCTAAATTTTCCCCGACGTATTTAAATAAATCTAGCTAAATTATTTGACGTTATCTGCTGCTGAACCAATGACATTAAACAACATGATGCGCAACTCCGGCATTTTTGTCCGAAGATCGTATTCGATAGCACGCTCCAATGCACATACTTGACGAGACGAAAACGAGCGGATGTGTGCTGCTTTCAAGGCGTAGCACGAATGGTGTTCGTGCCTGCTTCGACAGTTGTTGTCGATTTTAATGATATTTTGGAAAGTTAAGGTAAAAAGAAATCGGAAAAAGGTAAGGTAAATACTATTGTGGTATATCACACCCGGGCATCGCACTGTTAAGTACATGTGGGAAAGCCAGCCTTTGTCAAATACTACGAAGTTATTAATTCAGTACGGTACGTGGTTGCCCATTTGCCGAAATTACATATTTACTTACCCCTTATGGTTTCAAATAGTTCATGCACCTCCAGTTAGATTTTTTTAATCAGTGAGGATATTTACTCATTGTTGATTGCTGCTCATTGTAACATACTATTGCGCATTCACTTATATTTGCGTATTGAATCAAAGTGTTAACAAGTTCACCTAACATTTCACTCATACCGGTCTATCTTGTATAGTCTGATCTCTCAAGTATTTGGAGCCGCGAATGCTTGTAATTTTCTGACTAAACCCTTTTATTAGTTGGTTTATATACCAAATTCAGTAAATAATGGAATATTGGATTTATTAGCTTTTCCATTCTAAATCATATAGACTGCTTTATATATTCTTAACGAAAATTAATAAATCTCCTCTCTTTCTTCAGATGTGAAAGTTGTGGACAAACCTGTCTAAGCATTGTGAGACTCCTGCAGCACAAGAGGTAATAGCAGAAACAGTAAGTATATCAATCAAGAAATTAAGCCGACATAAAGCAAAACTTTCAACTATTCGTCTAATCTTAATTTCCTATTATTTATTCACAGGACCACTATAGCAGAAGGGGAGATATCAGAAGTCTGGCGACATATCAGTGACAGTGTGATTCCAAGAAATATAATTAGAGTACTCCATAAATGTTTGCAATAGAAAAACAACCTATGGAGGCATGCAAAGACATTTGACCCTCCGGTAGGTAGAGTTGTGTATGGCCACCACATCCTGCAGGGCTTGAGGAAAAGAACTAAAAATTCCAAAGCGTAAGATTGCATAAGCGGTCTTATTTGTAAAAAGGCACAAAACACGCCAGACATACTTAAAACAGCTTTGGAAAATGAGGATTACGGGTAACTCACTGCACCTGTGTTATATTTGGTTCATCAACTTTTGGTAGTACTATAGAAGAAATTACGGAAGAGGTATAATCATCATTCATGATAAAATACTATCATATATTTTTTGGACAACTTCAATCTAGACCAGGGATCTCAAACTCGCGTCCCCAGAGAACTTCCAGTGCGGCCCTCGAACGCTTAACAATAATTGTAATAGTATTTTGGAAGTTTTTTTTTTTATCTAAATGTAATAGATTTTTCAAACCTTTTAAAGTGAGATTGATTATCCACACAGAAAACAATTTACTGAAAGTAGTTTTGGAATATTAATTTTTTTTTGTCCACATTTTGACCCAATTAAGAATACACATCAAGCTAGCAAGAGAATACTTGATTAATTAGAACTTGAGTGATTAGATTAAACGCAAAGTACATGAAGAAGGTGGCATTTTCGAAGAAAATGGGAGTTGCAATATTTCTGCTTTCCACAAAATTTTGAAGCACATTCTTTAATTTGTCATATTTCCATCAATACAATGAAAAAACACAATAAGCTCAGCAGTCAATATGACAAATTCAAAGACCAACTTCAAACAGAAAATTTCCATGTGTTTGTATATTAATATAATTATACAACGACTTGGTTACTAAAAATTAATATCAATAATAATTCAAGCAATCCTATGCCACGCAATGTGGTGCGAAATGTCTTGTCGAAAAAATCTGTCATTTGTTTTTTTTTACTGATCTATACATGAAATGATAAAAGTAACTTTTTTGCATTACTGGAATTAATTAAACATTCGCAAAGATCCAGATTAACCCATGATCATGTGGCCTTGTTAGTTGGAGTTGGTACTATAAAATCATTTCAGCCTGGCCTTAGTATGCTGGTGACACAAAAAAAAAGATGCCAAACGTCAGGACAAATGTAATTATTAAAACATTGAGTTTATACTGTAGTATTTTTGTTAATTTTAAGTTCATATATTTAGATTAAGTTATTTTTAGTGTATGTATTATTCTTTCCTTATCCAAAGCTTGTTCAAAAATGATTTTGATGGTTGTACATAGAATTTTATGATTTTTTATAATAAATACAGTAACTTGCAAATGTTGCAATAATAGTGGAATGCAAATATCAATATGTAATTGCATTTGAATTTGAAGAAAATAATAAAACTTAATCCAACTGTTTAGTTGCATCACAATACATGTCACAAACTAAAACTATCTTAAAAATATCTTTTAAGTATACATTATCAAAAACTGTTTGCGGCCCTTTTTACAATTTCCAAAATTCAATGCGGCTCTCGAAAACCCATGAGTTTGACACCACTGATCTATTCTAGACGATTCAAGCATTGCTTTGGGAAATAATATCACTTCAATTAATTGAAATAATCTTGCTATATTAAATACAAAATCGTTGCTATCATAAAGGTAAACCAATTCAGCCACTCGAAATATATTGGCCTTCACAAAGCAATGGAGGCAAAATTGAGAGTTCATGAGCTATGAACATTTGTTCTTTTCTTTGTCTTGAACTTTTCATACTCCACAGCCCTATTAATTTTTTATAATTTTAATTACCATGTGATGGTCATACATATCTTTAACTTGTATTTTCTGTCATGATGTATTATCTCAATGTGCCAAACTATTAATTAGTGTGCATATTTTGC